TGTGTATATTATATATATATATATATATATATAAATATATAAGCCCTATACAGTATATGTATTTTCTTATTCAGATATGAAGACGCAATCGACTTTGGGAAAAGGTGTGCAAAAAGCCGTTCTGAGTTGCTAGGCGACCACACAGACACGGCACGCATATACTACCTTCTGGGGTTATTCTATGCAGAGCGAAACCATCATGGTGACATGAAGGCTGCAGAGCAAAACTTCGAGGAGGCTCTGCGAATTGAGGAAAAGCTGTGGGAGCAAGGCAAGCTTCATACCATAGACTGGGAGAATCTAAAACAAAAGATACACGATGTTCTTACAAAAACTGGCCAGAGGTCGAAATATCGAGACTATAAAAAACGGTTTGAAGTAAATGCCTATAATTAATAATTACATGATATAAACGCAATAGCTCAACAACAAAACAATAAGTAGTAGTAGTAGCAGTAGCAGCAGCAGCAGCAGTAGCAGTAGCAGTACAGTAGTAGTAGTAGTAGTAGCAGTACAGTAGTAGTAGTAGAAGTACAGTAGCAGTAAGTAGTAGTAGCAGTAGCAGCAGCAGCTGTAGTAGCAGGAGCAGCAGTTGGAGCATCAGCAGCAGTAGCAGCAGCAGCAGTAGCAGTAGTAACAGCAGTAGTAGTAGTAGTAGTACGAGTAGTAGTAGTAGTAGTAGTAGCAGTAGCAGTAGCAGCAGCAGCAGCAATAGCAGCAGTAGTTGCAGCAGCAATAGCAGCAGTAGTTGCAGCAGCAGCAGCAATAGCAGCAGTAGTTGCAGCAGCAGCAGCAATAGCAGCAGTAGTTGCAGCAGCAGCAGCATGGATGGTAATCCCGAAGAGTATTTGCATCTTATTTTGCCTATCTTCCCAACCATGCCAGGTCTGTCATACAGCAGCAATAGCAGCAGTAGTTGCAGCAGCAGCAATAGCAGCAGTAGTTGCAGCAGCAGCAATAGCAGCAGTAGTTGCAGCAGCAGCAATAGCAGCAGTAGTTGCAGCAGCAGCAATAGCAGCAGTAGTTGCAGCAGCAGCAATAGCAGCAGTAGTTGCAGCAGCAGCAATAGCAGCAGTAGTTGCAGCAGCAGCAATAGCAGCAGTAGTTGCAGCAGCAGCAATAGCAGCAGTAGTTGCAGCAGCAGCAATAGCAGCAGTAGTTGCAGCAGCAGCAATAGCAGCAGTAGTTGCAGCAGCAGCAATAGCAGCAGTAGTTGCAGCAGCAGCAATAGCAGCAGTAGTTGCAGCAGCAGCAATAGCAGCAGTAGTTGCAGCAGCAGCAATAGCAGCAGTAGTTGCAGCAGCAGCAATAGCAGCAGTAGTTGCAGCAGCAGCAATAGCAGCAGTAGTTGCAGCAGCAGCAATAGCAGCAGTAGTTGCAGCAGCAGCAATAGCAGCAGTAGTTGCAGCAGCAGCAATAGCAGCAGTAGTTGCAGCAGCAGCAATAGCAGCAGTAGTTGCAGCAGCAGCAGCATGGATGGTAATCCCGAAGAGTATTTGCATCTTATTTTGCCTATCTTCCCAACCATGCCAGGTCTGTCATAAATAAATATACATAAAAATAAATAAATATTTTAAATAAAATTAATTAATTAAAAATAATAACGCAGAAAAAAGGCTACATGTACACCCTGCAGGTGGAAAAGGGCGCCGCGAGAAGCTCTACAAGAGATGGATGCGTGTGCCTAATAAGATGATATTATTATTATTATTATTATTATTATTATTATTATTATTATTATTATTATTATTGTTATTATTATTATTGTTATTATTATTATTATTATTGTTATTGTTATTATCATTTTTATTATTATTGTTGTTATTATTATTATTATTATTATTATTATTATTATTATTATTATTATTATTATTATTATTAGGGGTAGTGGTAGTTGTAGCGGTAGGAGCAACGAGTTACAACCGCTAATGTAGTAGAAAGAAAATCAACCCCAGCAAATGTAGAACGCTCGACAGCTAATGTAGTAACGAAAATTACCTCACAGCTAATGTAACTACTATCGCCTGCAGCTAATGTAGAATATAGTATAAAATCTTATATCAAGGGGAACATATAATCGACGTTACCAGCTTTAAACTGTTACGTCTTTAAATTATCAACAGCACTGCATTGACATTGTTTCAACTTCTGTGATGCCTGTTTGTTGTTTGTCATCGCACAGCTATAGTCCTCAATATAAATAAATTATGAAATAAATTACCTCCGACGGGATCGAACCTGTGATCTTTTGCTGTCAAGGTGAACGCCATAACCACTCAACCACCACCATTTTATCATATATGTATTATATTTTATATTTTGCTCTGACGAAGGGCTAGATTACCAAGGGGAGGCATTTCTCTCTGGCTGTTTACATATATGCTAAGATCACGGGCGGATCTAGGTTGAAATTTACAAAGGGTGG